AAACTCTAGAAGCCCGTCCCATGACTGCATGAGGCTTTAGGGGGACATTCAGACAGAAACCATAACAGACTATATAAAGAACTCTTACAACTTAATAATAAAAGACAAAATCAATTTAAAATGGACAAAGGATTTGAATAGACATTTCTTCAAGTAAGATACATAAGTGGTCAACAAACACTCAAACAGATGCTCAACATCATTAGCCATCACTGAACTACAAATCAAAACCACAATGAGAAACCACTTCACACCCACTAGGATGGCTCTAATCAGAAAGACGGGTAATAACAGGCGTTGGTGAGAAATTGGAACCCCCACTGTTGCTGGGGATATAAAATGGTGCAACCACTTTGGAAAATAGTATGGCAGTTCTACAAAGTGTTACACAGAGTTGTTATGTGTTACAGCAGTTCCACTCCTACCTGAGCACCCAAGATAAATTAAAACATATATCCACATTACATATGAATATTCACAGCAGTGATTCATAACAGTCAAACTGTAGAAACAGCTATTAGCTGATACATAGATAAAATTTGTTATGTGTGCAATGGAATATAAAATAATAAAAAGAAATAATACATTAATATATGTTATAACACAAACTTCGAAGACATTATGCTACGTGGAAGAAGCCAGTCACAAAAGTTAAAAAAAAGGTACCGACTGACAAACACCGGAGCACAAGGATGGCCAATTGAGATTTTAGAATGAGCCTTTATTAGCTGGCCAGCGACTGACTGAGAGCCTCCACGCAGGGTAGGATCAGGTCAGCTTTATGGGCTTAGGCTGGGCATGTGGAGTCTAAAATAAACCTAACTGCTTAGGAAGTGAAGTAAAGTAGAGCAGAAATCTGCCCCTCAACTACTATGGTCGTAAGGAGGTGGATACAATATGAAAGAAGAGCTGCTAAGCCTTTTTACTGTTTTAATCACCATCAGATACTTTCACAGGCCCAGCTGAAGTCAGTGCTTGCAGCAAAAGGGTTAAAGGTCCTAAATGTTACTAGATTGAAGACAGGGCCTATAGGGAGATTATTAAGGATAAGTGAGACCACAGTGGTAGGCCCTTGATGCAATCTAGCTAGTGTTCATATAAGGAGGAGAAACAGAAAAACTCCTGGTGAGGACGCAGAGAGCGGACAGCCATCTGCTAGCCAAGGAGAGAGACCTCAAGAACAACCAGACTTAGCCAGATGTGGTGGCACATCTGTAATTTTTTTTATATAGTAAATAAACTTTAGCTGCTTTAAAGATGACACTGCCAACAGTCACAGATTCACATACAGTACAGTTTGTATTTACTATGTACAATTTATAGTAGTATTTTTTCCTCTGAAAAGTGTAAGTACAAAAGCTAACAGTGAGGTACTGCCATTTGGGATTTATCATCTGTCACAGCGTAAAGAACTAATCTTTAGCAAATACTCAAGAATCAATGTAATAGTCAATTAAATGCTGTAATTTATTAGAAAAATTCCAGTTTCACCTCAAAATGTATTGCACAGATCTTTGAAAAAAGAGAAAAAAAATCACCCTAAAAATAAATAAGGCAAGCAGATCTTTAAAAACAGGGACAAGAAGAATGAAGGAAAGGAACATTGAGCCCATAAATCAGGTTAAGTTATTCAAAATATCTTTCAAATGACATAAAATTCTTCCCAAAATAAAACTGAAGAAAAAAGAAAAAACTATCACCATTTCTCCACTCATGAAATAAATCTATTGTAAAAGTAGTCTGCAATATACCTATGGGCCAATGTCAGATCTTTCTTTGTCTCTAGCTGTATAAATGGCCTAAATAACAGCTTCATTCTTGAAGGAATGGGCATACAAGGACAGTTTTCCGAGCAGCAGTTGCCCAATATTGCTCTCCCCATTTCTTCAAGATGAAGATTGAAGCCATGACATTAGCCGCACATCTTTTCTTTCCAAAATTTTCTGAGTCTGATCATCAGGGAACTTTAGTACAGTGGTTATAACTTTTGCCATGGTCTTAGTCTCACAACTCATCATATACTCAGAGAGCACTTTTCGTAAATATTCAAACTCGGTTGATTCTCCCAAGAGAGAGACATCAGTATGGTACAAATTGCCACTTTTATAAGGTGTCACTACAGTTGTTGCACACATATTCTTTTCATATTTCTTTAAACGGTCTTCTAAACTGTGAATCTGTCTCTGAACTCCTGTTCTTTCAACTTTGAATCACCGATTACAGTTGTCTTCTGTGCTAGTTGTGTCTGTAGTGCCATAATTGTTACATTAACATTGTCAGCATTCTCCTCCTGCTGTAGCTTTTGCTGATATTCCTTCTGCAGTTCCTCAAGCTGAGTTTGCAGTTCCATTACTTCTGCAGTCATTTCTTCTTTATGAGCATCAAGGATTTCTTCGTTTTTTTGGCTGTTCTTTGTAGATTGTCGTCCTTCTCTGCATTTTTTTATGTAACTGACTTGTCTCTTCTTGATGGCTTTCTAAAAGTTCAGTTTCCACCTCCTGGGCCTTACTGATAATTTCTTTTATGGTCATTTCTAGCTCCTGTTCTTTTTGTGCCAGCTGGGTATTAAACTCCCTCATCAGCTGTTTTAATGTGGAATTGTGCTTCAACTCAAGATCTTCCTGCTCCTGT